AAAATTCCGCAAATTGACTTTCTACTGCTTAACTAGGCCCCAATCTATCAGAAAATCGAAACAAATCTCTGGGCAAACGATTTTAAGTAGCCCGCAAGACGTTGAGTTCAACCCTAATTTTGCAACAAAAAAAACCGCGACATTGCCGTGGTCAACAATAGCGTTACACGGCCCGTCACGCCAGTGTTACCGATAGATATGCTTTAAACAATTTACTTCAAGGCAGATTAAAAGCCAGTTCGAATTGAAAACTTTCAGTAAACCTATCATTCTCATTGATTGCAGCATTTTCTTCAGATACAACATTTAGGGTCCCTGGGATAGCTTCACACACTTTCATGTTCAGTTTCAGACTGGCGATTTCCCTCAAAAAACGGTATATAAACAGAACAAAATCTAAAAACTAAAACTGATTACTGAATAAATTTTTGCATTGAGAGATATTTGCGAATTAAATCATCGCCAATCAATGCCATTTGGTTTATAAAAACTAATTTCCTTGAAGCTATTTTAAAGAATAAAAATATTTTAGACTAACTATTGGTGCAATAGTTCTTTTCGAAGTTTTTTTTACCCTTGGGGGCTCTCAGAACTGAAAAAAAAGCTACGTCGATACCCCAAGAGGAGCATATACTTGTATGACAACGTGAATGAATCATGAAGCCACTGCATGACTATGACCCATTAAAACAAACTAAGAGGACTCTTTGGTGCTTTGCCAGGCTTACCATAAACTCAGTTTCGGGTTGCTTTCGACGTTTCAGTGGAAAATTCCTGTAACAAACGAACGTCTGAAAAGGCAATCGCCTATTTTCCTGGTTGGAAACTTCCAGGCGGAAGTTCGGATTTCATGTCTTCAAGCCTTTTTTGAATATTAGTTTCAGGCTTTCGCGGCCGCTTTTCACTAAACGAAACTGACTTAGGAAAATGGTAAACGCGATTACCGAACGGAATCAAATTAATCAGTCCTGAATTCTCCTCACCATTTGCCCAAACCGTGAAGCGACCGGTTTACCAATGTGAATAGTAGAAAAGCCTTGAAGCCAAGAGCCTGGGATAAAGCTTCCTCTCATCGCTTTCTGCCGCCAGGGACATTTCGTCAAAGAGCAGTGAGAGGCGGGTGTATCGCAGACTATGCGTCATATATCTTAAGTACTTTGAGGGGCCTTGTTAAGTGCATAATTAATAAATCGTAGCAAGGGCAGATCGTTGCAATATCTCTAATTACTTATTAACTAATATTAAGAGACACCAACAGAAAACTCGCTATTCTTCTACCCCAGACACATGTTAAGAAAAATAGCTTTTTTGGAGCAGTTCTTTGGAATAGCCTTCCTATATATTGACCAGCAGCAGGCGAAGTCTCTTGGGGTTTTGATCGCCGGCTGCAAACAATTCTTCTGGAGATCTACACGGTACTTACGTACAGCGGACTAAGGCTTTCAGTCTTCTAGTATTCGGTTTGTGACAAAGACAAGGTAAAGTTTTGGAGGCCTGCTTGGGCGTCTAAGTTTCATGGACTAAGGTTACGGAGGATGAGGAAAGTCCTCAAGGCTGTCTTTCCTTTTTAGGTGTTCCCATTCGTTCGTTACAAGGTTCGTCTTAGGTTTAGTATTATACTCTATTTTGTTGCCCTATTTTTATTGTTTTTTTTGTTTTTGTTTTTTTTTTGCGAAAAAGACGATGTTCTCTTTCCAAACGCTGTTGAAAGGAACTTTCAATCTTTTAACCTGTCATCTGCAGTTCAGTATTACAGCTAGAGTTTCCATGACACTAAAACGTCAATCAGTGCAAAGTCTTTCAGGCCACAAAGCAGCCCGTACTCTTTGCGTAAGCTAAGAAGGCGGAATAGTCGAGGTAATGGTCTGGAGCAAAACTAAATGGCCGTTCCATCTTGTCTGGAGCAGAGGGGGCACGGCGGGGGAGGGGAGAGGTGAGTGAGACTGGGGAGAGAATGGAAAAACAAGTCTAAAAAATACAATAGAAAATGACAAAGAAAAAGAAAAGAAAGAAAACAAGAAAGAAAAAAAAGTTTCGCAGTCTAAAAGCAGTTAAAAAGTTAGTACTACCAAATCCGTTCCTGCTGATCAACAACAAAGCGCCAAAAGTGCTCGACGCTCAAGTTGAATACTGTATTTATTCGAATAAGCGCCCAACCTCGAATTAGCACCCACCTCGAATAAGCGCCCATCCTTAAGGCAGCAAAGTTAATAAGCGCCCATCCCCACCCCACTCCCTCCCACACAAACTCAAATAAGAGATAATAAGTAATAAAGAGACCCTCCCGCTCTCTTCAGAGCATTTTACAGAAACCTTGCTTGTTACATCTCCGCTTTTTGTTATTACCATTTATTGTTTTTTTTGCAAAACTAACATACTACACTTGCTGAGAATGGCGAAATTTAATAAGCGCCCAGCCTCGAATAAGCACCCACCTCGAATAAGCGCCCACTTTCATGGTCCAAAAATTTAATAAGCGCCCAGGGCGGTTAATCGAATAAATACGGTATATACCATAAAAATTTGTAAATGAAGGACGTAGTTAACCTGTAACAGGCCTTCAGGTAGTTGGGAAAACGCAAAGAAAAGTGAGCTAGAAAAAATGGTGAAGGGGCGGGGTTAGGGAGAGAGGGCGAAAGGTCCTCCTACTCTCTCCCTCTTACTTTCTTCCACGTGTGTTTTCCTCCGTTCCCCATTTCGTGCCACTGTCCACTGTCCACTACGCCTGGAATAGGCTAGTTCATAGTGGGCCAGAGAGTTTTTTTCCAATGGCGATGCAAGGGATCTACAGATGTCCATTTAGGAGTATTTGCCATTTTTAAAAGCTCATGATCACGCTGCAACTATTCCTGCTTTAGCATTAGTAAAACGACACTTTTTTTTCTATTTTCCGTTTTGCTGTAGAGGAAAGTTTTTGGTGATTTGTTTTTGATGATGGTGTTTCATCGTCGATCGAAACGAGTTAAAATGTTTTCTGAAACGTTCGTTACAATGTAACTTTTTAATCGTGATAGTACTACATCGAAACGTACATTTATACTTATACATAATTACTTGAAAGAGAAAACTCGCGAGAAAAAAAAAATTGTTCTAATTAGTTAATATTGGTTATCCCCGTCTTAAATTTAACGTATTTATGCCTTTTGACGCATGCTTAAATTAATAAAACACACCACTGTACTTGTTTACAGTTTGTTTTCATTGGGCTCCGGTCGTCGAAGTCTTGCCGAGGTCGCTCAAAAAAGCCGACTTTTGGGCAGTTCTACACTATATATTGTATCCAAACAAAATGACTCTTCTAAATAAGATAAGTGTATTGAAAGATGTAATATAGATTGTATGCTGGAATTTGGCTTGTGATCAGCGTTGAATAGAATGTTGAAAGTGACTCTCTCCTTAACACGCTGGCGTAACGGGCCGTGTCACGCTATTTTCAACCACTGGAATGTCGCGATTTTTCGCAAAATTAGGGTTGAACTCGGCTCTTGCGGGCTACTTAAAATCGTTTGCCCAGAGATTTATTTCGATTTTCTGATAGATTGGGGACTAGTTAAGCAGTAGAAAGTCAATTTGCGAAATTCTAAGTTATAGCGCACTGTAAAAATTTACATTATTTTAACCCTATAATCTTGAACGGTAGAAATTGTCAATAGGGCCTATTTTTAACAATACCTTTGTGGCCACAAACTTATTACAGCTTTCACAAATTTATCGCCTGATAATAAAGAAAGGGTCATAAAAACTATTCGTGTTCTACAAAGGCTGCCAAATCGTTGTGGTTTGACGTACGAGTCAATGGAATTTGTGTACAATTTCGCTTTATCGGAAGTGGATTTTGAGCTCCGAACGGGCAAAATGAGTTTTCTAGAATTTTAACAAAAGAATACGTTATTTGGGAAAACTAACTACAGCATGTTTCATTATTTATTAAGGGTTATCGATGAGCCAAAAATTAGCGAAATTTGAATTTTGAACTTGTGCCACAAAAAGTCGATTTTGGTCGATATTTACAGACAGTCGCTCTTAAGATTACCTTCCTTTCCGCCCCAGAAAGAACGAAAATACATCGTGGAGCTCTTCAAGCTTATCTCGTTCAAGTGAAATTAAATTTCGTCGCTACGTGACAACAAGCATACATAAGCTTACAGGAATGACAAACAACTGTCACAAGAGGAGTTTACATTAATTCATTCAGCGATTCATTGCACGGTCGGATAGGACAGAAAAAAATAACAATGCTAAAACTTTTCGATGGAATTACATAACTTGCACATTTAAGATTACCTTATTTTCAACATCAGAAAGAACGAAATAAATCGAGGAGCACTTTTAGAATAAGTGTCACACATGGCCATTCCTTGTATGCTTTTATGCCATTAGTTTTTTTATTTATGGTATTTAGCATTCTAGAGTTATGGTGCCTTGATTCTATGCTAGTTGTTCATTTACCGTCTTTGCATTCTGCATTGAGGAATTAAGTTGCCTCGATTTCATGATATTAGTTTCATTTACGACATTTGGCATTCCGCATTTTGGAATTATGTTGCCTCGATTCCATGTTCCTTGTTTCATTTACGGTATTTGAATTCTGCATCCCCTATTCTGGAATTATGTTGCCTCGATTCTATGTTGCTTTTTCTTTTTACGGTATGTGCATTCTGAATTATGGAATTATGCTGCCTTGATTTCATGATTCTAAGTTTTATTTACGACATTTGCATTCTGCATTTTGGAATTATGTTGCCTCGTTTTTATGTTCCTTCCTTCATTTACGGTATTTAAATTCTGCATTCCCCATTCTAGACTTATGTTGCCTCGATTCTATGATCATTGATTATTTACGCACCGTATTTGGAATTCAACGTATTTACTATACGGTAATTATGTTGCCTCGATTCCATAGAATGGAATAGGTGGCCTGGAAATAACTTGTGGGCGAGGCTAAAGCGTGAGAAACTGGAACCGATAAGCAGAATTATTTGAAAAAAGTCACCTTCGAAATGAGTTTAGCGGACTTGGTGGACGAGGCGTTTATACGAGAGCTTGTTGAACGAGGGTTTTCCTACAAGTCCATTAGTGAAAGACTCCGAGTTCTCTTTCCTGGTAAGAGTTATATCTCTTTGCATTACCTTTCTATCTAAATTTCTGGCTTGTAACGTTGATGTTTTCTCCGGCAGAGTCACGCGGGCTTAGCGCGCGAAGCGTAAGACGATTTTGTAAAGACAGAAATATAAATGTAACGTCATTGCGATGGATATCAGACGAACACCTAGAAGAAATGGTTTCGACGAACATCTTGCAGGTGAAGTTGAATTTTGTGAATTGTATCAGTAAACCAGTAATATAAAAATTAAAGTGATCACCAACTGTTAATCCCATCCATGTAAGCCGGTGTAAAATGTCACGTTCAATTGCATGCCTGGTTTTTGGCGGGAAATAGTTAATGAGACTCGTATCGTAACCAGCTTTTTTTAGGGGTAGGAAATCACATGTCTGGTACCCTGCAAAAAGAGGCTGTAATGTGTCCACCCCCTTCCCGGGCTATCCCCCTGGGCATTAGCATCTCTCTTGAATGGTAAATTTCCGGGGTTAGGGACACTTAACCTGCGAAATACTCTGTGATGAGGATGAAGGAAGAGTGCAAATGCCCCATCATTTCAATATACAAACCTATAAAACATCTCAATGAAGCATACATGTTGAATGAGAAATACAATGATTCATGTCGATTTTTCTTGATCTCGCTATATATGGTTATGTTTCACACATAAAGCAACAAAACTTTTGCAATTTAAATATTTTGATATATAATGATCATTAGGGATAACTGAATATGATATAAATCAGTAAATGCCACAATTTGTTTTTCTTTCCAGTATGGACATACGTATGGAAGGCGTATGATGCAGGGTACCCTACGATATCAAATGCAAGAAAATTTGCAGTGCCGTGAAATCAGTCAAAGAAGAATTTCAAAGATGCTGAAGAAGGTTGCCCCTCGTGCTCACAGGGAAAGGGCACATGACTTGCTGGACAGAACAAATCCAGTTCCCTACCATGCACCCTATTTTGGATATAAGTTGCATATGGACCAAAATGAAAAGATAGCGCAGGAGTATGGAGTCACCCATGTCCATGCTCTGGATGGCTGTAGCAGGATAGTTCTTGGTTTCATTACAATACCAAAAAAGAACCCGGTGCTCATATACCAATATCTATTTAGGTAAGGACCCAATCAATTTTATGCCTCATATGCTGGTTTCTAGAACACTTAAGAACGCATACTGTGAAATTCAGAAACCCAGAAAAGTATTACATACAGTCACATTATGCAATCTGTTATTGTGTTGCAAGGAGAAAGCCAATCAGGTCTGAGAAAGGTAAACCAATTTAAACACAAACAGCAATGTTAGGTAGTTGTAAGTTTTGAGGACTACCCGAGGGTCCTGGTCTCCAAGGTGATTGGTCTCTAGACAGTCAATATCTCTGAAATATTTCTGGTATTCACAATTTTCTAAGTTTGACACTCACTGAGCCTATAATAAAATGACAATTTCTCATTTGCATTATTGTGTGCTTGCTGTTTTTTAAAAAAGAGATAACCAAACTCTCTTTTGTGAGATTTCCAAAAAATCCCCAAAGCCATTAAGTAGATTTTCTTGCTGGGCAAGTTGCTTTTCATGCTTACTTAACCAATAGGCAAGTCCTCTTGTAACTTAATGACAAAAAGTAAAAGTATGCAACTAGCCTGGGCAAGCAAAAATGATTAAAGGTGCAGTCTATCTTCCGAGTCCTATAATATCAAGTATTTAATTAATATGAATATTTTTGCTTTTTATAAAGTCCTCTTTCATTGTTCCACATTGTTCTATTTTTTTCTGTTTACACAGGCCCTTACTACTTCAATATGGGTTATTTGATCAGTTACGTGTTGATCATGGAACAGAATTTTGCCTTTGCATCTTTGTACAGGAATTACTTAAAAATAGACGTGGTGATACCAGCAGAGCCCCTTGGAGACAAACCACATCTACTAAGAATTACAGGGCAGAGAGGCTATGGCCAGAGGAAAATGCTCGAGTTAACTATCCTCTTAAAAGGGCACTTAACTTCATTAAAGAGCAGGAGATATTCAATATGGAAGACCCCCTTGTTAGTTTTGCAGTTTCTTGGGTAACTCTACATGTCAGTAAAGTGGGTTCAGAGAACTTTGTCAACTCTTGGAACTATCACCGAATTCCAGGTGAGTTTTGGTGCTTTAGACGAAGGCCACTGAACTTT